GTACTGTTACTTATGTTATTTACCCAAATTGTATGAAACAAGAATAATACAGACTGGTCAATTTTTAACCAGTTTAATTTGACTGGATAAGCAGTTGGGGTAAGGATGGATCTTAGAGCATATAAAGGGATGGGGTTCTTATGTCAATCAGTATGTGTGTTTTTTAGTAGTGAATGTAGATTACAAACTTTGAATATAATTACCCAGGGGAGCCCATATTTAAGAATGTTGAATATGAAGCCGCCTAAATTCAGTGTAGATATTTATGGATATTGGAATTTACTGTATGTGTCAGACAGGAGAGTGTATGTGGTCACTGCTGCTTCCTCCAGGTGTCCAGCAGAGCAGTGCAGAACCAAATGGCCCCCTGGGGTCCATACAGGCAGTGGGGAACCTCAACAGGATTCAGCTCAACCTGCAGGAGGGATTATGGAAAATCCGCATCAGTTCCACACAGCCCTATCAACTGAAAGTCACAGGTAAGGCCAACTCTCAGCTGTTTTCAAGGGAAATGACTGGTAAGAGTTATCAGAAAGTCTCAAATAAGCCTTATCACCAGATAGTCACAGGTAAGCCTTATCGCCAGAAAGTCACAGATAAGCCTTATCGCCAGAAAGTCACAGATAAGCCTTATCGCCAGAAAGTCACAGATAAGCCTTATCGCCAGATAGTCAAGATGAGCCTTATCATTAGAGAGCCACAAGTAAATCTCTCCTTTTAAGGTGTACATGCTTCACTCTTTGTGCATTTGGGATTTTGCAGGTCGAAGCACAGTTGACTTCATATTCACATTTTTAAATATATTTATGGATCCCCTAAAAGGAATGGAATTAAATGAAGGTCGTCCCCAAGTAGGTGAGAAACCTGCTATAGAATCTGCAAGAATGGCTACAAAAACTGCTAATTTAAAGCACGATTCATCGCAAATTAGTGGCAAACGGCACTTAAACATCACATTTTAAGACCATGTAGTGTGAAGAGCGTCTGCCACCAAATAAGTCTCACACTTGTCCTCTTTTCTTCTTAGGCACAAACACCACCTTGTTCCTCACAGTAACCAGTAACACTCCAGTAAATGTCACAGAAGTGTCACTAGTGGAGGCATCAGGGGCCGGCCAGACGAACGGCACCTTACAGGACCTGGGCCGTGGGAACTACCTAATAACAGTGGACAAGATGCCAGAGGGCGTCTTTAACGTGCGAGTGTCAGGGATGTCGGCCAGCTCCTCACAGTCTTCCAGCACGGTCTTCCAGCGGCAGTCAAACACTCAAATCAAGGCCTCGAGTCTGATTGTCTCTGTGAGTGCTTTCATTGTGTGGTCAACGGTTAGTCTGAGAAACATACCTTGGAGGAGTCACATTAAATCTACTCGTCATTTCATTTCAGGTCCAGGGCATATCGAACCTGGAACCCGGGGTGCCCATCTCCATTCCTTTCACTGTACGATCCCCTGGGTCAAACCCATTACACCTCATCAGAGTCCATGGTGATAAAAGCTTTGTTCAGAAATTCACAGGAATGTAAGAATGAAGTTCTGTTAATTATAATTGTTCGCTTGCTTTCACTTTCGAATGGTTCNGAAACATACCTTGGAGGAGTCACATTAAATCTACTCGTCATTTCATTTCAGGTCCAGGGCATATCGAACCTGGAACCCGGGGTGCCCATCTCCATTCCTTTCACTGTACGATCCCCTGGGTCAAACCCATTACACCTCATCAGAGTCCATGGTGATAAAAGCTTTGTTCAGAAATTCACAGGAATGTAAGAATGAAGTTCTGTTAATTATAATTGTTCGCTTGCTTTCACTTTCGAATGGTTCCAGTGCATTATGGCAACTGGCTGTATTGTGCCCCCTTCAGGCTGTCCCTGGTGAATGGCAGTGCCCAGGGCTCAGTGAATCTCATCGCTCCAGGTGACACACTGTCTGGCACTGATGTCACTGTGACCATCACGGCCGAGTCCTCCGATCGCAGTGATTCCAACTATGCAGTAGTACGACTCTCCGTCGTCGCTAAGGTAACCAGGGTCCCCTAAAGGGTGCTGTATCGAATGCAAGGACAACACTCACGCTGGGCTGCTGGAAAAAATTGAGTTAAGCTTCGCTCCAGACATGAGCCTTGTTTTGAGAAATGACCTTTGATCCCTGGCCAGGTTACAGACATCAGCCCTCCAGTGTGCCAGGGCAACACGACGGGTAACTGTTTGGGGACCTGCAGCATGTCCAGCTGGGAACTCTCTGCTAATATCACCGACAACAACGGCACGGGTGTCACTAGTGTGTCTGCCCGCGGGGGCAACGGCACCCTCAACAGCACCATCTCTGTGGGGGAGGGGGGCATCAATGTCACACAGGTGTTCTATAGTGCCTCTTGCTGCGCCCCTGATCTAGAGCTTGTAGTGGTGGATGCTGTGGGTAATGTGGGCAGATGCATATATTCTGTCAGGGCTCCCAGCACGAGAGCCCCTCCCAGTACGGGAGCCCCTCCCAGTACGGGAACCCCTCCCAGCACGGGAGCCGCCGCCCCCAGCACGAGAGCCCCTCCCAGTACAGGAGCCGCCCCCAGCACGAGAGCCCCTCCCAGTACGGGAGCCGCCCCCAGCACGAGAGCCCCTCCCAGCACGGGAGCTGCCCCCAGCACGGGAGCCGCCGCCCCCAGCACGGGAGCCGCCGCCCCCAGCACGGGAGCTGCTCCCAGCACGACGGCTCCGCCCACTGTACCTGTGACCCCCAGCAAAGGGGCCGCCTCTCTGGCACCACGCGTCTTGGTGTGGGCGAGTCTGCTGATTATCCTGAAGGCTTTCATAGCCATGTGACAACAGCAATCCAGAAAGAGAGACTTCATTTGAAGATGCAATTTAACCAATGAGTGCACAGCCACTATCTTTTACTCTTCTTCATGCAACAATTAAACCAATGAGTGCACAGCCACCATCTTTTACTCTTCTTCATGCAGTGTCACTTGCTGACATTGGTTACATTACTGCTTTTTAGCTTACGTATATCTTACTATATATACAGCATATATACTCAGCAAAAAAAGAAACGTCCCTTTTTCAGGACTGTGTATTTCAACAATAATGTTGTAAAAATCCAAATAACTTTACAGATCTTCATTGTAAAGGGTTTAAACAATGTTTTCCATGCATGTTCAATTAACCATAATCAATTAATTAACATGCACATCCGAATATCACACCTGCGTGACAGGTACAGGATGGCCACAACAACTGCCCGAGTCACACCAGGAACACACAAGCCCTCAGTCCAGCCTCTCTCAGCCTATTGCGGACAGTCTGAGCACTGATGGAGGGATTGTGTGTTCCTGGTGTGACTCGGGCAGTTGTTGTGGCCATCCTGTACCTGTCACGCAGGTGTGATATTCGGATGTACCGATCCTGTGCAGGTGTTGTTACACGTGGTCTTCCACTGCGAGGATGCTCAGCTGTCCTTCCTGTCTCCCTGTAGCGCTGTCTTAGGCGTCTCACAGTGCGGACATGGCAATTTATTGCCCTTGCCACATCAGCAGTCCTCATGCCTCCCTGCAGCATGCCTAATGCACGTTCACGCAGATGAGCAGGGACCCTGGGCATCTTTCTTTGGGTGTTTTTCACAGTCGGTAGACAAGTCTCTTTAGTGTCCTGCGTTTTTAGAACTGTGACCTTAAATGCCTACTTTCTGTAAGCTGTTAAGGTCTTAACGACCATTCCACAGGTGCATGTTAATTAATTGATTATGGTTAATTGAACATGCATGGAAAACATTGTTTAAACCCTTTACAATGAAGATCTGTAAAGTTATTTGGATTTTTACAACATTATTGTTGAAATACACAGTCCTGAAAAAGGGACGTTTCTTTTTTTGCTGAGTATGTATCTTTTAAATAACTGTCTTGTACCTTTACACATTTACTCAAATGAAAAGCTGAAAAATGTCTAGGATTAATCTCTATCTTGTGTTTTTTGAAATAGGTGTCCGTGTCAATCTAGGGCAAGTTTTGTCTTTGTCTTAAGGCCATTAATCTAGAGAGGATGATGGGGAAGAGGAACACAGGCACACAGAATCCATGAGGCTCTGACAGAGACATGAGAGATGTGGAAAGAAGGGGATCCAGTGCGTGATCGTGAACAGCTGCTCACATCTGCAGTGCAATGATTCACCATGAGAGAGACAACAGACAGACAGATCTCCAATTACTGTCACTGAGACAACCCCCCCAACAGAGATATATCCGAGCCCAGGGTTCCCCAATTATTGTGACCAAAATGCCCCCCTCCACAGAGATATACGTATACCTATTTATGTAATTCCAAAGGTGTTACTAATTAAAAAGCTCCCAATGAGGCTTGTCAAGGTAATTTTTAATTCAAAACAGCTCTTTTAGAATTATAATTTGGCTTTCAATTTACTACTTGAAATGAATGTTTTACTTAAAATTACTGATTGTTTCTGTCATTTTTTGGTAACTGAAGTAATGATTTTTGTTATTATAACCAATAAATACGCTCATTTTTTGCTGTATTAAGCATGCATCCCAGCTTTCTGTGAGCACTGCATATACTGTATGTTTGGGCTCAGACTCCCCAGTTATTTTTCCCTGAGGGCCAAATTCTATCAGCAACACAAAGCCAAGGGCCACTGGCCCCAATATTGTGCTGCCAGTCAATAAAGCTGCTGCATTCTGATATTCCTTTGGCCTCATGCTGCCCGGTGACGGTGTCGCTATTCCCATAATGCCGAGCCAGCAGTAGCTGGTGCCTGTGGACCTGCCCCCCCCCAGCAGCTTTATGTCTGCTCCTGTTATGAAGCTGCTCTTTATATGCTGCTTCTCACTTTATAATATATAAGAAAGAATGACTCCTTAGATGTTGCCTGTGCAGACAGTCAGTTTTGCAGAGGATCCTTCACTGAAACCTGAATCTCATCCGTTCTTGTGTACGCAGGCACACTATCATAGTGAACAGTTAGTGGCCACTGTAAGCAGTTGCTTCACCTTCCTCTCACTGGTGGTAAGGAGTAAAACGTAAAATGTAGCAGGTTCATATCCCACAAGGAGCCCCACTTAAAGACCCTCGAGTGAAACACTGCGATTCACCCACATGAAAACAGACACAGAATCAGAAGTTGATTTAACCTTTAGTGACGCCCTGGATTCAGGCAGAATGCAGAACTGTCCCCAGCAGTGTGTAGGCAGCTTTGAAACGGCTTATGGAGGATAGTCTCACTCACCATATGGATTTTTCCCACGATGCACTGCTCACCACTGCTTAACGGCCCCAAAAGCGAAGAGCTTCTGTTACACAGTGATGCATCGGCTCACAGGAGCGGATCAAAGAAACTCGAGGGAAACCTGCCTCACCAGGTCACGCAGGGCCCTCAGGGGCCAGGAGTAAAGACAGTCAATGATAATGCAGAAACGGCAAGGTAAGCAGGTCCAGGCAGCCAATGATAACACAGAAACGGCAAGTTAAGCAGGTCCAGGCAGCCAATGATAACACAGAAACGGCAAGGTAAGCAGGTCCAGGCTAAGGCATTCATTCATCTAAACCATAAATAACAATGTAGGCCTCAGCGTCACACTAGAATTATCTCCTCTGCTTTAAGCTAAGAACCATTTGAAAAAAGTTATTTATTGTTAATGATTTCATATTTACATGCTATTTTACAGAGTGAGTTAGCCTGCAATGGACAGCTGCATTTCAGATATAAAACAGTCTGTCTGCAGCGTGGATTCTCTGATGCCTCTTCAGATTGCTCTTCAGGGTAAACCTTTTGCCGCAGCTGGGGCAGCTGTACGGCCTTTCACCCGTGTGAACCCTACGGTGCGCTTTCAGATTGCTTAACTTGGAGAAGCACCTCCCACACTGTGCGCAGCTGAAGGGTCTTTCGCCAGTGTGAGTCCTCTGGTGTTCCTTAAGGTACGGTAAACGGGAAAAGCTCTTCCCACAGCAGATACAACTAAACGGTTTTTCTACAGTGCAAGTGGTACGGGTCTCTGAGCTTGCCAGCGTCTGCCCGTTTTTATGGGGGGGGCATCCATCCTTATCTGGACTATCTGATGCTCCATGCGGCTGCCTGAATCGAAATCTCTCATTGCCCACTTTGTCAGCACTGGAGCTGATTAGCTGCATGGTATCTTGCGGAAGCGCTAAGCTAGAGATCTGCCTGCACACAGTCTCCGACTGGATCTGATCCCTCCATAGAGGCGCCATGTCTACTTCTTCTTTAACAGGCACTATGCTGGACAGCTCTGTCTCCGCTTTCACACTTATGCAGTGTAGCGAGGACCCCATCTTACTGGAGCCTTCTGAAGGAGCTGACCAAGTCTCTTTGGTATGTCCCCTCGGACTCTCTGCATCTTGTCTCACCACATGAGACGATTCCAATCCGTCGGCATCCGAGTCGCTGTCTCCTAGCTTAAAAGCGGTCCAGGAGACATCCTTGGAGTCCAGATCATGTGATGCCGGGGCAGAGTGCAGCGCCCCCGCCTGGCCAAGCCTCATGCTGACACCCTCATGGCCTGCCTGTGTGCCATGCTGCTCCCCGCTCTCTCCCGCATCCTGCATACCCCTCTGCTGCTCTGTCACACTGCCAGATGGTGTGTGTGTGTTCATCCTCTCACTGGAACTCGAGTCCTCCACATGCAGCCTCACGTCAGCATAAAGAAGGCTGGCCTCTTCAGCTCCTGCGATACAAACTAAATCTGAAAGACCAATATTTACCGATTTCATTACACGATAGGCTATTAAAAGAGGCATCCAGCATGTCACTCACCCTGGCCGGCTGCAGCTGGCCTGTACTCTGCTGGGGCTCCACCTCCTCCAGCCCTGCCGCATTCCGTGCACCGCGTCTTCCCGTCCGCCGCCTGCTCCCTGCGTTTGCTCTCGCACCACCGCAGCCTCTGCCGCAGAGTCTCCGCTTCCCGGCGGCTCTGTGCCACTTCTGCCAGGAAGCTGTCCTCCACCAGCCTGGTGATCTCGCACACGGCCGCTTTCAGTACAGTCTCCATCACCCCACAGAGCTGGGACTGAAATGCTATGATTGTGTCTGACATGTTAGTTCCTTCTTCCACTGCTCTTTAAACTGAAACCCTCCCCAATGTGATTTCTTAGGGACTGGCTGCTTTCTGGCTGCTCACAAGAGGACACCAGCACCCTATAACGCCAGGCAGACTCACAGGGAACAGCTAAACATCTGGGAAACCAGACCTGTGAGATGTTCGACCAATTTGCAAAATGCTCGAATGACAGTAACAATGTATTGGATGGACGTGACAGAAGAGAAAAATCATTTGCTTCGACAAAATTATTGCATGTAGTTTTCAAAGTTTACAAAGCAGATACTATTTGAAGGTGCTGTGTTTGGAAGCTGCGGAGTTGGTTTCTGATTTTCATCAACGTTTACCGTCAACTGATTTGCTGTAGTCAGTAAGGAAAACGGCTCTGCGTGGATATATCCCGTGTTTCCACAATCAATCGCGTTCCAAGCGCTTCGCATGAGGAAAAAAGCCCTTCATAACATGTATCCGCCCCCTTCGATAAAGTGGCCCGCAAGCAGCCGGGCCGGATCAAAATTACAGCAGCTGCACCGGTATCGGTTTCTGCACATATAATCTGCAGCTGTGTTGTGGAGTTATTGTATCTTAGTCAGGAAAAAAAAGGGAGATCAAGCAGGAATTCCAAATCAAATCGTATTCGGAATTACGTTAAATAATAAACGAAGCATACCTGCCATTTCATCAGCAGCTGCTATAATTGTTGTTTTACGGTGGCCGCGCAGGACCAAAACACTCAAAACGCGTTGGAAAATACCGGTGGAAGTGTCTCATACGAAACAGTAGGCCTATTTTAAAACTGAAGGAAAATGTTAGTAATAACCATAAATATCAAGACGATCGGAAAAATTTAAATTTATCCTTATAACCCTTAAAATGGGGATATTTTCATTTAGTTGGAGCCTTGGCAAACCAGAAGCTCTCAATTACTGCGTTTATCCATTAATATTTTCACGCAAAATCACGAGTAAGGAGTCCATTTAATAGCGATATTTAATTTGAAAAGGAAGTTACAATACTTGTTGCTGCCAAAAGTAGAGCTTCCATGCATGAATGTAGTGGACATCAGCAGTGAAATGAAATTGCTGCCAGTCTGCGAAACAAACAAGGTAGAAAGATAACAAAATAAACAGTAAGTTAACACAATAAGTACTAAAAATAAACATCTAAAACGTATATAAAAATAAAGATAAAAATTATAAGAAAATGCACAAAAATATTTAAAGTGCAGGTTGCAGTTATATCTTATTTTGGTTTTTTATCGGTGGTGTTAATGATCCTGATGGCCTGGGTATAGAAGCTTCCCCTCAGCCTTTCGGTTTGGGCCGTAAGGCTCAGGAGACGCCTGCTTCAGTGCAGCCACTGGGACAGGTCACGGCACGGGTGATATTTAATGCCCTGGATCCATATACTTAGACGTAGATGTCCTGCAGGGCAGGCAGTTCTGTCCTGGTGATTTGCTCCGCGCTCTGTATTGCCCCCTGCAGGTCTCTGTGGTCCTCTGAGCTGCAGTTACCCTACCAGGCAGTAATGCTCCTGGAGAGCATAGATCCCACAGCAGTGCTGTAAGAGGTTCTTTGCAGCACAGAGGAGACTTTGAATTTCCTTAGCTGCCTCGGGTGATACAGTCGCTGTCTAGCTCTCTGCACCAGGGTGGATGTGTGGGTTGTCCACGGCAGGTTCTCAGAGTTGTGTGCTCTGATCTCCCTGTAGCTGCTGACCCTCTTCACTGGAGTCCCAGTGAAAATCTTGAGTAGTGTGTACTTCTTCTGCTGCTTCTTCCTGAAGTCCATGTCACTCAGGTCCAGGCAGAGTTTTATGCCCAAGACCAGTCCATTTTGACTTTGTTCTGGGGGAACTTTGATAAATGATGTCACAGTTCAAGTCTTATTGTCCCAATAAATTTATTACGGACATTTCTAGAAGAAAATAAATAACAAACAGTATACTGAACTGCTGAAGCAGTCTGACTTTTTCAGCCCCCGATCACACAGACATACTGTATATTTGTGTGTGTGTGTGTGTGTGTGTGTGAATGCATGAGAAAATTTGCTGGTTAACATTCTGAAGCACCGTTGTAGAATTTTGAGGTTGTGAAATTATTTTGTTTCTCACCAGCACAACAGCTAAGTGGCCCAACCAGGAATTCTCCTGAGTCTCCCGATTGGCCACTCCGGGCCCGGGTCCAGATTGTTAGCTTTGCTCCACAGACACAGCTTCTCCACCTCATCCAGGTTTGCGGTTCCATCAGACCTACCACCACATTATCTGCAAATTTCACAATGGTGTTGGAACTGTACATAGCTGTACAGTCATGAGTGTACAGGGAGTAAATCAGAGGGCCCAGAACACAGCCCTGTGCAGCTCCTGACCCGTCCCTCACTTCCTGCTTCGATACTGTCAGTAGGAGGCATCTACAAAGTCAAGCCTGCTATAGATTGTTATCCTCTTTCATGTATTTTGTACTTGAACACTTATTTTAACACAGCAAGCTGCTGCCTTGTTTGTTTGATAATGTATTAATGTATCTGACCAACAATATTTTTTTTTCCTTTAGGTGAACATAATCTCAAAATATATATCAACAAACTATAACATGATCGAATATACGATTAATTGCGATTAAAATAACAATCGACCGACAGCCATAGAGTGTGTGCAAATATATGTATATATTTATACTACATAGGTAAGTAGGGTATTGAGGAGAGATCCTGCTTGGTTTGGCCTTCTTTCCTGCTCTTCTAGTATTTTTTGCGTTTCTTTAGTGTATCTTCTCTGCTTGGCTTCTGTCGATATAGACTTGACTCTGACGTAGGTAATGAAGGCCTTTTTATGGAGCACAACAGCAGCGCTTTTTCTAGCATTAGCAGTCCAGTGTTTGGCCTCAGGTCGCATCGCTCCTAGTTTGTCAGTCCTCAATGTGCTCCATGGATTGGGTTTGACCTCCATGTGGAGCATCACAGCCATCTCATACCCTGCTGGTTTGTACAACATGAGCCCTGGAACTTCCTTAAAACAAAGGTCTTATCGCCTCCTGTGCAGCCACATCCAGTCTGTTTCTCAGGCAAAGTGGCTTTAAAAGAAAATGCATCCATGTGAAAAGTTAACAACTATAATGGGTCATTACATATCGAACAAGTGAACAGGTAGATGCAGCAAAGTGCAGAATCACTAGGACTCACCTTCCCATCTCCCAGCTTTGACCATCAGCTCATACTTTTTGTTCAATGAATGACAAAGGAACTAAATAATTTCAGTCACCCGTGGAGTGATTTGCACATGGTGTTTTTTATTTTATCATCAAATGCATTGGATGGAAGTTAGCATGTCCATTACATAAATTAAATAAGACAGACAGGCAGACTTTCAAACTGGGGCAATTATAGGATTTCACCCTGGGGGGGGGTCAGCCCCCACCACAATTATGGTGCGTTCGTTTTTCTCTCGGAACTCAGAAATTCCGAGTTGAGTGACATCACGTCCGACAATCTCCCGTTCGAGCTACCCACATCTCGGAACAAACATGGCTGCCTCCATGAACATGTTGCTGTGTGTTGTTGCTTTATATTTTAGCAGATTTGGAGTTTTCCAAATGGAGAAAATGGAGAAATGAAGAAAATGGAGAAATGGAGAAAATGGAGAAATGGAGATTTTTCCGAGAGACAAACAAGAAACACGAACTAGTCAAAACACATTAAAAGCTCATAGTGATATTCTTTTTTCGAACGGTAAACAAACTACAAACAAACCAAGTCGCCATGTTGAAATTACGTCACAGGGGCAACTCGGACAACAAAATCTTGTCCGACTTCAACGTCGTTAAAGAGGCGTGTTTCCGACGGGAAGTGACGTTTTTCGTGACGTTTCGTGACGTTTTCATCCGAGTTCCGACTTGGAGAGACATAATCGAACGCACCATTAGACTTGCTGAGAGAAGGGGGTATTCCACGATGATGTTTGCTGAGCCAGTGGTACAAAACGTATAGGAAAATCCAGGACAAATCGCTAAATGGTTTTATTAAGACTATTTTTTGGGTGGCCAAAAGCTCCCCCTAAATGGGGTCTAGAGACACCTATGCTGTCAAAGTCTTTGGGGAACCAGCAAACCTGTTCAGACACCAAGCTGGTGCTGCAGTGTTTGTGCTGTTAAAGCTCACAGACCTTCCTACAGACTGTAGCGACACTCACAGTAAAGATGCAAGATTTCTAAGTTACATCGGATAGCAAAAGTGAAAAATGAGACCAACATTTAAATGACTTACACGTGCAAACCTAGTTTCCATCCAGGGCCTTCAGAACATTGAAATGCTAGTGAACTTGGACAATTCAAAAGACCTCGTGAGCTTGTTTCCATGACGATAGGAGCCAACAAAACAATCACATTCTGTCATGTGTTACCACCTTAATTGATAGAGCTCACAAATAACTCGCATCTAAAGTTAATCCGGATAAATCTTTCCAAATACAGAGGAAAAAGTCAAAGAAGATATTTTTTTGCAAATATGCACAAATAAACCACTCACTGTTGCTGGCCATGTATTTTTTTCTGGTGTTTCTGAAGACGACAGAAAAAAAGGAATGTTTTCCCACACTGCGTACAACTGTACGGATTCCTCGTACTGTGATGTCTTAGGTGGGTCTTCATGTTGCTTAAGCGAGTGAATCTCTTCCCACACTGTGTGCAGCTGAATCGCTCCTTGGTGTGAATGCTGCGATGCTCCTTAAGGATACTCAGCCGCGTGAAGCCTTTCCCACACTGCGCACAGCTATACGGTTTTTCCCCCGTATGGTTGCGCTGGTGCACTTTAAGATCATAAGAAGAGAGGAAGCTCTTCCCACACTGCGAGCAGGGAAACGGTCTCTCCCCGGTGTGGCTACGCAGGTGGACCTTAAGCCGGCTCAGATACAGGAAGCTCCGCCCACAATGCGTGCAGCTGTGTGGCCTCACGCCACTGTGCTGTTTCACATGAGCCTGCAGGTTTTTGAGCCGAGTAAAAGTCTTCCCACACTGTCTGCAGACAAATGGTTTCTCCCTCCAGCAAACAGACGGCGCACTAGGAATGCTTTTTGATGCCCTGAAGCTTGGAGCGCTTGTGCAGCCAGCATCTTTCGCTAATAGTTCAGAATTTGAACCATTAGTATTTCCAGCACTGCTAACTCCTGTCTGTGTATTTGCTGTTCGTGGTCCATGCTGCCTGGCTGCCAAATTTGTGTCAAACTTTTGAGATTTTATCACATGTTGTGGAGAAGCCAGGCTAACAACCCTGTCTATCTGAAAGTCTGCCCTGTGACACGGCAGCCTGATCTGCCTGTGCGCTACCTCTGCCTGGATCTGATCCCTCCATAGAGGCGCCATGTCTACTTCTTCTTTAACAGGCACTAAGCTGGACAGCTCTGTCTCCGCTTTCAGACTTACACAGTATAGCGAGGACCCCATCTTACTGGAGCCTTCTGAAGGAGCTGACCAAGGCTCTTTGGTATGACCGCACGGACTCTCTGCGTCTCGTATCGCCACGTGAGACGACTCCAGTTCGTCGGCATCCGAATCACTGTCTCCTAGCTTAAAAGCGGTCCAGGAGACATCCTTGGAGTCCAGATCATGTGATGCCGGGGTAGAGTACAGCGCCCCCGCCTGGCCAAGCCTCATGCTGACACCCTCATGGC